ATCAAGGATCTCGTTGGAAAAAGGCTAAATCCCAAGGTCAATATTCGTTCCGCTCTCCCCCGAGTATTGGCTCGACAGCGTTCAATCGTAGGTGTAGACAATAAAAGAACGCAAAATTCCAAACGTCAATGCCGATGTGGGAGTCACAAATGGAGGGAGCATCAAGAACAATTTAGCTTTCAACCTATTGGAACTACGATACAAACACCAGCAACAGGAACAATGGCAATAAGAGCAGCATCAACGCCAGCAACAATGGAGAATAATCTTACATCCCCCCTCTAGATAGCCGTCAAGCCAGTCTGTCCGTTGGGAATATTAACGTGTTATTCTCACAATTAATTATCTTAATTCGCCACTCAAACAATCGCAGGACAAGAAGCGATTTTTATTATCCTTCTCCGATATAGGGATTAGTGATTCCATCTATATCGAATAATTCAGGGAAATGCGTAAAATAGTTTATAATCGGAGTAAATGCGATACTCGTTTATTGATAATATAATAAAGGAATCGGAATGTAAATATTAAATTTCACACTATTGGGACTTCGAAACACACCGAAAACTAGCAACTCCTACGCTGCTTGGCAAGCGGGTGAGTTGTACGGACTCAAACCGCCTACCAGAGGATGTCAGCCAGTTTATGATAAAAAAAATGATATCTGGGCGCTGCGGGAATACCTACAGTGGTAAGAGGTGCATACATAAAAGAATATGTTCTTTTTCTTCTTTACATCGAAAGTAAAAAAAAGTAACACATTTAGAATTAGAATTGCCCACCGATTCAATTATTTCTAATAACGTATATCTTTCAAGCTACTAATTGACTTATTTTTAGCAACATATTTTCTAAGCTAAATTATTGGCTTGCCGCTAAGTAACGCTTTCTACTGCCGAAATTTCCACTGAAATTTCCGCTCCATCTAGGCTGTTTCTGATGTCCAATTGATTTGAAAGTGATTTGGTGGATTTGATACATTGATTGCATTAAAACACAAAATCAGTCCTGCTGCGTTATTGCTGTAATTTTCTGATTCTGCCAATTTCTCCACTACGTCTCTAATGCTAATCATATCTGCCTTCACATAATTATTCAGATCATGCCATTGCTGAGATTACGAAAATGCCACCTATCGGTCGAAGAATGAAACAAGATAGGGACTGGATTAGGGGGAGGTTTCGGTGAGCTAATGATTGGGTTGCGGAATCCTGATCAAACAATCTATTCCCCAGTGCATCATATTTTCTGTTGTATCATCTAAGTTCTGCTTTTCAAATGTATCAATAAATAGACAGGAAATGTGCTTTGCTAGATCACTTCCATGTTCATTGTCACTTGTTTGGATATATTCAGCAAACTGGGGAACTTTATCTCTTCATGGGCAATTTTCGGACCAGTGGCGCAGCAAGAAGAGATATAAGGTCGGACGGTATCGAGTGGTTGAACAGATTAGGGGTAGTCATATCAACTTGCATCTCATCGTACGGTGGTTCTGGTTGTTGTTGTTGTTTTTTCTCGGACTAACAGTGTTTCTGGTTCTTGCACCGTATTCGCGTCTGCAAAATGAGAGTGTTACAGACTTTATGACGCGGCGTGTGTAACAGTAACTAAGCTGAATTTTCAACGAGATGAATGATGATCTGTGGAATTACTATGTCATCCACTACTGAAAACAATAATACCAAGTATACTACAGAAAATGACCAGATAACGTCTAAATCGGACGAGGGAAACTCCAATGCTAATAAAAAGGAAACAAAGTTTATCGTAGACGCCGATTCAATACGACGAATCCAGCCACTTGAGTACTTTCGACATTTTACAGATCAAAAAATACGACCAAATGGAAGGGTATTCAATCGATTTAGAAAAACCACACTGCATCTAGGTTTTTATCTTTCTCTTTACTGTCTAACAATTATCGATCCGACGATTCTAATTCTTTAATATTTTCTTTCTACTTCTAGGCTCTGTTACTACAGCAGACGGTTCAGCGGTGGTGAGAATCGGGAACACTTCTGTTGTCTGTGGCATCAAAGCAGAAGTTGCAGAGCCAAATGTAAACACGCCACGGGAAGGATATCTTGTTCCCAACGTGGAATTATCACCAATGTGCTCTCCCAACTTTAAGCCCGGTCCTCCAAGTGAACTTGCACAAGTACTAAGTGAGACTGTGAACAAGCTACTCAAAAGGTGTGAGAGGTGAAGGCTCCCGTAATGTCGCTGAATGAGAAATTTACAGACTTGTGATTTTTTAGTTCTTCTGTATTGTCACTGGAGTCATTGTGTATAGAAGAGGGCAAGGCTGTCTGGGTGTTGTATTGCGATGTTGTCTGCATAAATTACGATGGCAACATTTTAGATGCTTCTGTCTATGCGGTTGTGAGCGCGCTCAGCAATGGTGAGTATGCGTTCACGTTAGGCATACATCAAACTGTACAGTTAGTCCACACATATACTCATAACATCGTCAATATCTAATGTCTAACATAGTAAGATTGCCCAAAATAACGTATGCTGACGGCATTGTTAAGGCAACCCCGGATAAGACAATCGAACTGTCATTATCGAGAATACCTTTTTCGGCGACATTTGCGATATTCAATGGGTTTGTAATGTTACGATGTCCCACCTTTGTCATTCAAAGTTTCAAAATCTAACATTTACATTCTTCAGAGAAATTTTAGCCGACCCGGATGAGACAGAAGAAGTTATATTAGAAGAGCGAATAACAATAATATGCGACGAAGAAGGACAGTTATGTAGTGTCTTGAAGTCTGGTGGTTCTTCATCTACGCGAGAGACATTTTCTACTTGCCTCGAGCTGGCGAGAAACCGATATTCCGTATTATCGACTATATTCAAAGAAGCGTCAACCTCAGCAAATACTAATTGATTGAATTTTATTTTTCAATCTGCGTAAGAACAAACGCTAGTTCTAATGTTAGCTCTTCGATTTCACCCAGTTGGCCATTACTAGAACCAAAGTGACCCCTATCCTTGTTTATTTCCATTAGTAACACGCCAGAATGCTCTCCTTGTGTACAATACAAATCAGACAATCGATATCTCATACGTGCTACCCATTTGAGAGGCTGCCAATACGCTACTCGCTGATCTCTCATTCCAGCCGTTACTAGAATAGAAGGAGCTGGGTATGTGGTCTTCTGTGCGTTTCCGGTGGTTGTAACGTTATTAGGCGTTGTGAGATGATAAGGAATGTTGTCGTATGGCGCATAGCTTTCGATGTATCTATAGGCTGCTTCGCTCTCTTTCGGATTTCCCCATTCATCATATTCCAGACGAGTGAGGGGAATGGAAGGATTCAGCATACTTGATAATGGGTCTAGAAAAGGTACGCGTAGAATAACTGCTCGAAATAGATCTAAAAGAATGACGTTGATGAGTATTCTAATATACAGTGGAATGAATTCGTTTGTTGATTACCTGGACGTGCGTTTAATACTGATCCTGTGTCAAAGATAATTTTAAGATGAATGTTCTTACTGAATATGTTATCTACTTGCTGGCCAACATACCTAACGCTAGACCTCCTGCACTTGCCCCAATAGCTGTCATTCTCGACTTTGATGAATATCCCGAACGTATAAGATATTCGGCTACCGTGATTATATCGATAAATGTATTCTTCTTTTTCATTGCTCGTCCATTTTCATACCACACATGTCCCAACTCTCCTCCCCCTCTACAGATTTTGTTTGTTAATCAATAGTCGGTCGGGTTACATGTGATGTATACATTTCTCTGCGTTCTACCTGACATGTGCCAATGCAATGATCCAATCTCTCTCTACCAGAGGTAAATGTTCAATCTGGAAGTCTGGTTCTGTCGGTGATCCGTACGCGCCGTATGTCCTGAGTAATAGGGGATTCCTGCGTTTCATGTTTGCGTGAGAACAGGGAAGATAAATGGAATAATTACAAGTGTACACATGTTTCGAACAATACCTTCCATCTAGTTTTAAGCCTTTCTTGTGTATTAATGTAATGGGTATTTCCGTACCATCACTTCCTTTAGCATAAACTCGATAGCAATCGTACCAAGTAGGATTAAACCCTAATGAATTCAATACGCATATTATAAATTATATCATCTGTAACTCCTTCATCATAACATCGAATTATATGGTCTTACGGTGAATAGGATGCGATCTTATGATATTTAATACCCGCGTCTCCATGTTGTATTCAAGTGTTGATTGAAGAGTTAGCGGACTAGTGCAATGAAACTGGACGATGTCCGTATTGTGATCCTATTTATAGTTATGTGTTAGTAAATGACACTATTGGGGCTAACGGATCTTGAACGTTTATACGTTCTTACTAAATTATTTCCGGGAGAAATTGTGCAATATCTCATTGGCAATTTGACCTCATGAATTTCGGAAGTACGAAAGTCATAACACTGTATTACAGGAAGACCATCTCTCTTCGCATATATAGTGATAAATTTCTGCAAAGGGTTCGTAAGTGATAATCAATGGGAAACCAGTGAACTGTGTTGATATCTAATACGAATCATAAATCGAGGATACTCAATATGAAGGGAATAAACACACATACGCGAAAGATATCAATATCCTGTATCCTCTCATTCTTATTCATAACAATCAAGTCCTCCCAGAATCTTTCGCTCGTGTGAGGTTGCCTCGCCCGTGTTAATTTGAAGTTCTTGGCTCCATTAGCGTTCGTTAGAATGTAGAGGCAGTCCTAAGTGGATGTCAATCATCACATGTATTTCATAGTCAAGTTGTTAACGAGAACACGACACACTATCTTCACATTCGTACATCATGATGGTCAACGTAATATTCCAAGTCGGACTTCCGCGGTTCTATTAGTTGAAGCGCAGGGGGGCCATCTGACATACTATGATAGGCGTCAAAAATATGTACTTCGGAAGATGAGAGTGTACTCGAATGGATAGTAATCAATTTCTGCGTATGTGATAATTTAATTAGCAACTGTTACTTGTCACAATTTAAAGACGTGCACAAATTACCTTATCTTTCGTCAAAGTGATATCGACAAATGCAGACTCTTTTTTTTCATTGTATATGAGAACATCGTCTGATTGCCCAGACCCGATTCTATGCACATAAACCTACAGTATTATGATGCAACCATACCAAATACGATTTTATATAGGATATCAAGTCTAGTAATCATGTGCTTATAAAGTTCGCGCGTAATTACCCACTCTACAAGGTCGTAGCTGCTCGTCTGTCATTGTATAATAAACGTATTTGTTATTAGCGCTCCATACAAAGTTAAAGACACCTTGCAACTCATCCGTCTAAAAAAAGGGGAGCAAAAGTTCTTGTTAAGAGTCTGACTACACAGACAAATAGACTGACATATTTGCAATAACAACCTGAAGAATCTTGTTTGTTGTAAGATCTTTGAAATAGAGCGAACCAATTTCCGTGCCATCTTCCTCAAGAAGATAAGAGAGCATGTTGGTATCTGGAGATAAAAGTATCGATCGAACACGCTTTCCCGTATTTGCGATATAGCGTGAATCAAATAAAACCGTCTAGCATAATATCGATTAAAAAAAGTGAATAACAACCTAACACTACAATTCGTTCGGTTTAACCGACAATGCTCAAGTTATCATACCTCCGTCGCACCGGGTTCCCTTTTTCTCCGATAATACACGAGACCCCTCTTTGAATTACGCGAGTAAAACTCGTACCCATTTACTACTGTTTTAAGAGGAGGCATTAGCCTTGTAGTAATAAGCTTCTGTCGCATTTCCTAATATATCATCGTGTCATAAGAAATCCAACGGCGCATCAATTGCATAATCAGCATGTGAAAAGATTTTACAGTGATTAGACGCCTTTGTAATGTTTTTGTAGGTTTCATCATTTGCTTTGCATAGCTATAGTAAGGAATATGTGAGTGAGAATGTTGATGTGAACATTGCTTTCGCTCATGCATGTTGTAACGCTTACCTATTCTCGGCTTCAATATAAGCGTTCACATCCTAAAAAGTCGCGTTCGGATAGTCATTGAAATAGAAATATGAGTGATCCTGCATCTTCCATATATTGTCCCGACGTCACAAAATCACTACATTTAAAAATTCTCACAGGATCCTTACTGTCCTCTAGCCATCGATATTCGTCAACACGTTTAATGCCAAAGTAACTCTCCTCAAATGGTATTCTTTTCGCCACTGGGGGACGCAAACCTAATGGTTAGTTAGCTATCAATTCCCAGTCAAACGCAGATATAGATCTGTAATAGATACTTGAAAGTAGAGAGTTAATCTTCTCGACAACGAACAAAGGATGTAACCTTGTACGTCGATACATAAGGAGAGACAGAAAATTTATTCCATTAAATTGCTTTCTTGACAAAGATATTGTTTTGTATCTCCATCTTTTTCATATTTTGACGTTGTACAAGATTATCCGTATCAATATCACGTGAGGCTTGGATGCCACGTGAAGCAAAACGTAAATAGCACGAAGTGATATTTTCTGTTTACTTTGCTTTCTTATCGCCTTGATTATATTCTCGTATCGAAATGACAAGTTGGACAAACAATGTGCTAGGTGAGTTGCCAAATATGCTTAGAATTTCAACGCCTACCCTTTTATTGGTATACACTTAGTACGTCGGGATGGGCGACGCGCTAACAAAGGTTTCCATGACATTATAATTATATCAGCAGAAGAGTCAGAAATCTCCCAGTTACATAAAGTTATAGATAATTTAGTAGAAAAAATAGAAAATTTGAACTTTATAGTGCACGAAAAAGATGAAGAAATAAAAAGGCTCCGAAATCGGATAATGCTGGATGTCAGTTCGCGTGATAAACATGCCGATATCCTAATAAAAAATGACCGCAGCAGTAACGATAGTGACAACAGCAAAGGCAATAGCAGCAACGACAGTGATAACGGCAATGGTATCAGTAGCAGCGATGGTGACAGCAGCAATAGTAGCAGCAGCAACAGTGATGTCGGCATGAATGCCAGCGAGAAAGCAGAGAACGATAACTTGGAAGAAGAAATTGAGTGGGTATATTCTAATCGACCGGTTACCAAGGCGAACAGTTCCAAGTCTAAGTGTACGTATGGGCTCAGCATATTAAGCATGCCCTTTAATCTAAATGTTATTTTATCGAAGCTAGTCATTCATTCGATCTAATGATTTCTCTGCTCTCAGTCGTAAAGTCGCGAAGGGTCTTTAATATGAAGAACAGGGTATACGTGGGTGGCTTGACTACCCAAGTGACGAAAGAAGCTCTCTACGAGGAATTTAACTTTCGTTTTGGCAGGATCGTTGATATACAGATACTATATCATAGGGTGCGTATTCTAGAAGATGTAGGCTATACCATCTATTATCAGTCATTCGACACTGCTAAATAAGTATTACTGACTCTTCTGTCTGTATGCAGTCGTGCGCCTTTGTGGAATTCTTCTACTTTTCTTCTTTCAGCAAAGCGCTAGCCAAAGGATATATAGACATAAACGGTGTAGATTTATCAATAAACAAGGTTCTGAAACACACAAAGAAGCATGCATGCAAGCGTTATTACGGAAAGTTTTATTGACTGCTGGCCATGAAATAGACTAAAGTTTGAAACCTGAAGGTAAGAAAACGGATCAGAATGCGTTAGAGATTGATTGCACAAGTACGTGCAATATTACATATTAATATGGTAAATCTCGCAGAAATCGTTATGAATCTCTCAATGTTTATATTATAAATTTAGTAATAATAACAACTAAATGCTTAATCGTCTATTTGTTAATGTTAATGCTGTCATATAGTATACGCTGTTGACTTCACCTCGATATTTCTTATAAAGACTGAAGTCGGGCGACTTCCTAATCTTAGTATTTCGTAATCAATGTACTGCTCTACTTGGAATAATTCTCTATTTACAGAGTGTTGCAGAATATAGACAAGGGTGTTTTCGTTCTTTCGTGCATCATGTAAACTTTAAGGCTAAAGCGAAGCTTGAAACAAAAGCTTTAATAGAAATAAAGCCGTTTGAATGTGAATTTATTGAATATTTTACATGACTCTGTTGTTTTGGAAACAATTTTATGTGTATTTGAATTACGCATATGATTTTCAAAAACAAGAGACAATTTGCAAGCTGCCAATTTACAATACATGTGTTACCGGGTAAAATTTACGTGTGACGGCATGTCCATATTCTAAAGGACTGCAGATGGAAACCGCATAATTTCGTCTTACGCCATGTCCTCCCTCGTCGACCATTTAATTCAGCTCAGTGACATTCTCACAATATCGACCACTTCAGCAGTCGCTTCCTGGGACCTCGCCTTTCTTAAACGTGCTCTGTTTCATGCCTCGTCTGTGGAAGTAGATCTACTTTATTATCCCGAGGATGAAACAGAGAGTGCATACCGTGAAGTGGTAGAGAGAGCGAAAATTCAGAAACGATGCCCTCCACAATCATATGCCGAGTTTACTATGGCATATCGCGAACTCTGTCGACGGTTGCTATGTAATAGCTATTTGAAGAAAGAGCTGTACGCGGTTTTATTGAATGAGTATCGGTTTCAAATTGATGGGTTAATGGACATTAAAGAAAACATCTCTCAGGCAAGGTGCATTACATGGAGAGAAAGACTGTATGGTTGAATATATTGGCGATTGATTGCATAGAATTGCCAATACTAAATGCCCCGTGATGAATAGGATGTTCAAATATGTGGCAAAAACGCTGCTGTTTCTGATCTACTCGCAGATATTGAAAACACTTTTCGCGAAGGAATCGCCCAACTACCAAATAGTCCAACAGATAATCGAGTAGTCATATCAGGTGAAAAAAGACCCATGTCGTCTATAGAAGCCCTTTACTTTATTTATTGTTATATACTATGTGTGACCAACATTCTTACAACGTTTGTTCAAATATGACAGCGATCAAGTATAGACACCAGTTTGAGTTGTCATCAACTACAATTGAAAGACGCGCTGCAGCGAGACTCTTGATAAAGGATTTCTGCCCGCTCTTTGCAAATGACAAGGCAGATACGTTCACCATAAAAGAACTCGAGAAAGAACTAAATATTATCGCAACGCATTCGGATGGAATGATGGTGACCAGAAGACTGGATGGATACTGTTGCTTATGTACCCATAAATATTTTATTAACGCCTCTGTTTTTTGTCGCATTAGGAAATCATCATCCATGCAGCACTTTTGTCAACACAAACCAACACAGAGAGCATTCCTAATGAACTCTATGCAATCATTCAGGAATGGATTCTAGCAGTGGCAATGAATGAACGGGATTCATCCGTTTTGAAATCTCAGTTATGGACAGTACACCCTTGGTTGCTCGCCCAATTATCACTGTTTCTTCCTGCGTTCTTCAACATTTATACACAACACTTGATTCAACTTATTCGACAATTACAGACACAAGGTTCGACCAGCACCGCACGTATACCGGATAATGAGACAGAGCAGAACATTCCAATCAATAGGATGCTCGAATGTTGGCAAGCACTCATCTACCAATCTGACTCTATGAATGAAAAAGTAACTGAGATACTTGCCGGGGAATGGACAAGATGCAACTCCCAAAGCGTCCCGGAGATGACTGCTTTGAACGCATGCGTCTGGAAAGAGTTCTTTGCGCGTCTAGGCATATAAAATTTCGTATATTGATCTAAGAATACGCTGCTCTCTCTTTCATTGATATATTGTCTATTTGTAATACAAGTCTTATATATACGCCGATGAAGTTCATCTAAACACAATATTTTTGAACGAGATTAATTGTTGGGATAGAAGGCTTCTAAGAATATTTCTTGTGACATTGTTAGTGATAATATCGTCTATGCTCATGGTTACTAAGACAGCAAAAATCGCAGAAAATAAAAAAAAAATATATAAACCATCTTCGCTCGCCAACCTCATTCATTACACGTAAGCTAGACAATGCATCCGTTATTACCAGTCTTGCATCACTCTGGTTTAATCTGCGAAATAAACTCTTCAATTAAATCCACGTTGGCATCACGTAGAATGTCTTTGAATGCCTCCGATTCCCGAACAGTATTCCAATTCCTCTTTGCAAATCTATAGACAGCTTTCCTCAATTGTATTATATCTCTATCCCACGAAAACCGTAATAACATGTCCCAAGTGTCCATATCAATTAAGGATGCCAACTGAGCAAAGATCATATCGATCAACTCGTGCATTGCATCGATTTCGAGTGTTTTTCGTAAATCGGCATCTTTGAACAGTTTCTGTAATTTGTTTACTTTCTCAATTTGAGTCTCGCCCGTAATATCAACAAGTCTGCCCGCGTATAGATAATAGAGTATAGAATGAAAAGTATCATAATCGACATCTTCAATGGTAACTGGTTGGCCTTCTTTGATTTCTTGTTTCCAATCATTTTTGATCAGTGTTTTAAAGTAATGTGATCTCTCAGCTAGAATAACCTGATGTGCATGTATTGTACGTCCCTCTACGGAAAATTTAATGTCACTGAATGTCGAATTGTTCAGAGTCTGGACATATGGTACGACACTCGAGCGTATCTTCATCGCCGCAAATTGACTTTCAAGATCATCCACATCGTCTCCAGGATTGGGCGTAATTATAACAACATGTACGATTAATGTGTCGTCTTCGACGCTATATTGAAGTTTAGGAGGCAATAATGTTTCGGCGTCTTCGACACTGTTATTTCCATTAGATGCATCCGCGGTGAGTAAAGTCTTTGAACAAAAGTTTGGCCATCCCCATGCAGGCTTTACTTTTAGAAAATCGTGTCGCTCGCTCCGTCTTTTTACTAGTCTGATCGTTCTTCTCTCGCCTTGTTGTACTGGTATATAAAACCCGATGTAAAAGTTGACGTTCACCCGCGCTGAGGTTTGAGCATCGCCAGGGAATATTGTTTCAAGATAACAACTGATATTGTTAGAAACACTTTCTGCATTGCCATTGGGATGCAATTTTACGCGCCAGCTTACTGGAATATATGAAACCCCGTTATCGTCAACTACACATGCATTGCAGGTCCACTGTGGACTATGCAGGCATTGTGGTTTAGGCGCGAGTTTCTCTATACAGCTGAACTGACGAATAAGCCATGTGTAGTTATTAATAACGCTTGTACCTATGCGATTGACGTTTACTGATAAAGAGTCCATATTTTTTTGACGATAGAAGGATAGAGTATCCGGACGGTTAGGTGGTGCGTTACTTTATCTAATATGGGATTGGTTGACATTACACTAACAAACTTGTGACATATGTCACAAGTTTGTTAGTGGCGTGAAGATTATGCATATCTGGATAACAATTCCAGACAAAGAGATGATAGAAGCTATTGAGAAAGGCCGCCAGCGAGAAGGAACAAGCCCGGAGATCACCGGACGGCTCTCCAGCATCTATCAAGATCTTGGAGTGTTTGAATTCGCAAAGTTCCGATCGACACATTTAAAGCTACTCTCAACATAATTGGAATGGAAGATCTTCAAAAGATTTCGATATATTGACTACAAAATAATTCTTATTGTGAACTCTTAAACCGCACAATCATCGGGAAAACTGATGTTATCCTGAAAAAGGAATGAATCGACTAATCTGCAAGCTTTAGAGTATTTACGGTTGGTAAACAATGCAATATTAATAATTAAATCTCTATTTGCTATTTATTTTACTGATTGTTATTTTTAATTA